CCCGCGACTTGCGCCCCGCGACTCTCCCTGTGGCCTCTGCGGAGGCTGCTGAAATCCCACGGGGACGTAGGGAGGCTTTTCTGCTCCAACCCTCCTGCCAGGGCGGTTTTCGGCCGGGGTCGCCTCGGCGCGGGTCGGTGGGACTTGGGCCGCTCGCCCTGGCCCGCGAGCGCTCCCGCGACGTCCCGCTGCCCGGGCACCGCTCCGGCCTCGGCTCCATCGCCCCGCGCGGGCTCGACGGCAGCGCGCGCCGGAGCTGTTTACAGTGAGCGCTAGGCCCGAGCCGGCCCGTGTGTGAAGTTTGCATAAGAGCTCGCAATTATTGTGCAGCTGCTCGTGCTCCGCGGGGAGCCAGCGCAGGGAGCGCGAGCAAAGTTGCAATATTTGTTTTCAGTGTTAGCGTTTCTGGAGAGCAAGCATCAGCTTTTGAAAGTGTCTGAAGCGAATAAAAAAATCGACTTTAGTTTTATTTGTGAAGTTGAGGTTTAAAAATTGTGCTGAGATTATTTCAGGATTCACGAGTTGCATATTAAGCTTAAGCTACGCAAAGGCAGCGAACTTTGTGCTGTGCGGTGGAAAAGTTGTGCAGCAACAGACAGTAACAAAACATCTAGATTTTTGTCTGATTGCAGATACTAAATTGGAGAGTTAGCCTGGGAAGCTTTGCAGTTCAGTCCTGAGTGATGCATCTGAACACCCCAGAGAGAGGGAGGGAACTGACTTGTAAAACGCAGTAAATAACCCTCTCGGCTTCCCTACCCAAGATTACATGCAATGCAGGGTTGCTTTTTTTTTCAAATTGGTAAATCGGTTGCTTTAACAATTCTCTTGCTTCCATCCCTTTAAGATGCATGTGAGGGTGTGTGTTGGGAAAGATGCCTTGTGCTGTAGTGTGATTCTGAAATGTAGTATGCAGGCTGACTTGCTGCTGGCTGCAGGTTTAGCAGAGATTTTTACGAACTTTTGTTTTGTTCTTTTTTGTTTTGTTGCCATGAAAATTAAGAAAGAGCTCCACGGCTCGGAGAAGGATACAATGCATGTCAGTCGCAGTGTTATTTGCTGTGCCTTTTTTCTCAGAGTAGCTAAACCAGGTTCACCAGGCTAGTGTGATTTTTTTGTTTGTGCTGCTGTGAGAATGCCCTTCCTGTGCTAACTTTAAATGCTTCTGGTCTCTTTATAGCCAATGTTAAAGTAATGGATTCCAAAGAATTGCTTAACTCCTCAGATCAAGACGACGCAAGGAAAAATGCGCTCATCAGTACCAAAGGAGGGATTGTGATGGACTTCCATGCGCCCTTCAGGGGTGGAGCCGCCGCACCAGCCCCTGCACCTACGTCTCCGCTGCCTGTGTCTTCTCAGCCAGACGCCAATCAGCAACCTGCTTTGGCAGACTTTTCAAAAGGATTAGTAAACAATGTGCCTCAGCCAGACCTTTCCAAGGCGGTGTCACTCTCAATGGGACTGTACATGGGTGAAACAGATGCAAAAGTGATGGGGAATGACCTTGGATTTTCGCAGCAGGGCCAAACTGGCATCTCTTCTGGAGAAACGGACTTCAGGCTCCTGGAAGAAAGTATTGCAAGCTTGAACAAGTCCTCCAGCCTGGCGGAGGACACCAAGGGAGCGATACCTTCCAACGCGCCGCTCGAGCAGGATTTCTCGGCCATGGCTGGCCGCAGCGTCCCCTTAGAGTCCGGAACTTCAGTCCAAAGCCAGGTTGGCTCTAATGGTGGCAACTTGAAATTATTCTCCGAAGACCAAAGCACCCTGGATATCCTCCAGGACTTAGAATTGCCACCAGTTTCGCCTGGCAAAGAGCCAAACGGGAGCCCGTGGAGACTGGACCCGCTGCTGGATGACGGTGGCTTACTGTCCCCCATATCCGCAGATGATGCCTTCCTCCTGGAAGGAAACCTAGGGGAAGACTGCAAGCCTCCAATTTTACCTGACACTAAGCCTAAAATTAATGACAGTGGTGACCTTTTACCCAGTCCCAAAATGCCAATGCCTCAAGTGAAGACCGAAAAGGAAGACTTCATTGAACTGTGTACTCCTGGCATAAAGCAAGAAAACATGGGCCCAATTTATTGTCAAGCGAGTTTTTCTGGGTCTAATGTTCTGGGTACTAAAGTTTCTGCCATATCTATCCATGGTGTCAGTACCTCTGGGGGACAGATGTATCACTATGATCTAAATACTGCATCGCTCTCTCAGCAGCAGGATCAGAAACCAATTTTTAATATCATTCCATCTCTTCCTGCTGGTTCAGAAAATTGGAATAGGTGCCAGGGATCAGGAGACGAGACTTTAGCTCCTTTGGGAACGCTCAGCCTCTCTGGCAGACCCGCTTTCTCTAATGGCTATTCAAGGTAATTAGTTTTTGTTGCTTTTATTAAAATACTCCGATTATGTCGAGCACGCGCGTGGGGGGGTTTTGTTTGTTCCTCCCCCAGCTGGTCATCTGTTTCTCGTCTGTGGGGCGCTCTCCTCGGACATTGCTGATGTATAGCTGTTATACAGTGCAATAGTAACCGTGGCCAGGTGTTCAGCTATAGGTAGTGAAAAGAAAAGAGGAGAGGAGCTGCCATCCCTGTAAAGGCAAAATTGCGAGATACGGCCTAAAGGGAAAAACTGAGTATGTGTTAGAAGGGTATGTGCAGAAGGCAGTATAGAGAGAAGTGCTTAAGTGTGTACAAAAGCTACTTTATTCTCAAGAATTAGAGGATCTATCGCTGTGGATTTTTTTCCTAGTGTTACTTAAATGTTAAGCACAAAAATAACTTGGTTGCTGGGTAAATTTTTGGAGTTGCATTTAAGCTGAACTAGAGTTTTATCCTTGCTCGATATTGCATTTGCCTTACATGGACAACAAGATTCCAAGTAGGAAATACTCGGCAGCTTGTTAATAACTACATTTAAAGAGAATATTTGCAGTAAGGTTTAACCGTTCCTGAAACTGAACCCTCTTGAATAGGGCTTTTGGAGGGCTTTCTTATGTTTCGTTTTCTGAGGAAGGCATGTTAGAGATGATTATTGTATTATTAGTATTATTTATTATTAATGCTAATAATATTGCATTAATAAGTGACTTTACAGTAGCGTTTTCTAAAATTAATTTGGTAGTGTAGATATTTGGGAATATTTTCTATGACGAAGCCAATACTTTTTCACGCCAGTGAACAGAATAGTGGTAGGTTTCCGTGTGTGTGTGTATATGTGTGTATGTACATGTGCCTTTTCTCCCAGTCAAGGACAGATTCCGATTTCAGCATGGATGTCTTGTTGTGCCTTTTTCTTAGCTATTATTAAATGTATCCTTGCATGCACGCTGTGGTTGCTCTCAACTGAGCGAGGGTTTTTGAAATGTTTATGTGATGCCTTAGTGAGAAAACGTCTCTCAAAGCCAGTACGTATAAAACCAGTGTAAAATTCTACTGAAGGCCGTGGTTCAGTTTTGTGTCGCCTCGATGCCGGGCAGCCAGGCCCTGCTCATGCGCGGCCCGTGCGGTGCTGGCGCTGCGGGTTCTGAGCTGCCTTTTCCCGCCTTGGAGATGAGATATCTGTGGACTTGTTGGTTGCAGAAAGAAAACTCTGAGCTTGCTTTTGTTTCGAGATTTCCTTAGGAGTGTTTGGCTTTTTTTGAAATAGGCAATTTTCGTTGGTGAAAGATTTATAGCAACTTGTAATATAAAGAGTCCAGAGAGAAAAATGAAGAGTTATTGTGAAATTCCATCTTGATATGTAAATATTGATATTTATTTATTTTTAATCAAAGTCAAAATCTTTTGTGCTAACCTTTTGCCTGACTAGTTTATGATGTTTTTCGTTTGTGTTTGGGTTTTTTTTTTTTGTGGATTTGTGTTGTTGGCTCTTTCTCCGTCTCTATATACTTTTAGTGGCACTTTCAAAAAAATATCTTTATCAAAGCAAGAAAATCTATTTCTGCATTTGGGCGGTGGATGTCGGTGCCTGGGCAGGTTCTGTGCAGATAATGGCAGCACCATTTTGAGGGTTTGTCTGCGCGGTTCCCGGTTGGTTTTTGCTTCCCGACGTTCCAGGCTCCCGCGCGCACGGGTTGCAGCCGAGGGCTCGCCACGCTCCGGGGGAGCTTGGGAGCGCCGTGCTCCACGTCCTGGGCCACTCCTGGCAGCGGTGGAAGGTGCCGCCGAGCGCGTCGCCGGCCGCGCGGGCCCGGCGCGAGCAGCGCTGCTCCACGCCGCTCACGTGCTGCTTCCCGCGAGCTCTCTGCCCGCTAATGCCCCCCCTTCCTTATTTGGGATAGTGGAATTTCTTTTTGCTTTATTTAAACAGTGTGGAAAGAATTTCAGGGGAACTCCTGGCTGGCTTTTACTTTAAAATGCTTTACTTTCAGCGTTCGTGGAAGCTGTTCTTGCTTACCAACTATTCTTTTAAAATACTAAAACCACAGCTTGCAAGCCTAAAAGCAGTGTTGTTTGTTTCCTTGTTTTGGATGTTGCGTGTGAAATAGAGGCTGCTCTCCCCTCCTAAATATCTTTGGGAGGCTAATGAATTGTGGGCTCCTGACGCCGAAATCTGGAGTTCTGCTCCTTCTTCGTCACTGCCAGGAACCTTTGGTCCGAGCTGGCCGGTTTAGCGTGGCGTGTCCTGCGTTTGTTTGCTCATCCCACGGGAGAGCTGACCGCCCCGGCGAACGCCCCGCTCGCCTCTGAGACGAGAGCGGCCGGGCTGCTGCGCGCTGTCCCGCGAGGAGCTGCCAGCCGCTGCGCTCCCTGGAGCGGCTCAAACGGCACTTCCTACGGGGAATCTTGCCTGGGTTTGGTCGTCGTCTTTTACTGTTCCTAACGAGTTAGTTATATATTATAAGTATATATAAAGAAAGTCCTGTTCTGGGGTTGAGATATCACTTAATCTTACTGGTTTCATGAAAAAGTTGTGATATTTCTTTATAGACACAAAATCTTGAGTTGATGTCATGTAACCTTTGAGTATTTTTTACATCTAATGGAATAGCAACAGCTTGTCTTTAATGACAGTAGTGATAAGTGGGGATGAGAAATACTCATTTTGCTTCCGAACAGTAGGAAATGTTCTGAAGTCAATGCAGCCAGTTAATACTTGTGCTGATGGGCAAAACTTGGAGCTGCAGCTCAGTATTTTAATAGATAATATTCAAAATCTGCTTGAATAACAGTAAAAATTTCAAAAATTTAGGACAGCTTCTTTCTGCAGTTACTTTGGCAAAAGATCTGGATAAGTAAACTTTTGATCAATCGGTATGAAAGAAAAAGAGAGAAAAAAAATAAGGTAACAGAAAATTTGCCTTTTTTTTTTTTTTTTTGGTAATAGAAGCGGGGCAGAACTGGAAGAGGAATAAAACAAACTAAAAGTATTTGTAAGTTTTCCAGGGAAGAATTTGAGCTTTTGATGGTATCAATCCCTAATCTGATTTTATTTGTGACTAATTCCACAGATGCCAGTGAAATTTGTTAAACTTCAAGGAAATAATGTTAGCAGTACATGCTTATAAAGCTCCTGAGTGGTATAGACATTAAAGCCATTGCTCAAGCTCTTATTCTTCTAACTTCCTGGAGATGTGGCTTGTTGTGGGGGGGAATGAAAGATAATAAGAAACAACACAGCGACACAGTGTGCTGTTTTTTAAATTATTGTTATTTTTTATTTTTTATTTTTTTATTGCTTAGCCTAGCCTGCAGCCAGAATTTACAAAAACTGGGCCCCATTGGCAGTGCTACGGCTTCTAGCATTACATTTGAAATGATTCCTAGTATTTAAGCTCGAGGGGGATAAGGATCATTAAGGAAGTCTAAGGAAGGACAAGAGAGGGGGAATATTTTTAAAAAAAGAAAGCCTTTTTTCTCTTCTGGTCAGTTACACTCCAAAGTCTTAAAGCCTTTCTTCTAGGAAAAGTTGCCTTTTTGTGTGTGTGCGTTTGGGATTCCTTTCTGAAGGCAGACATTTTACTAGAAGGAAGGGGGGAAGTGATCCTGTGCTAGAAGTGGCAAAGGTCACTTGTCCTTGGTCTTACCTCATTGTTTGGGCTTGGCGTTTGGCCAGGGCCAGTGGCTTGGCACCATTGAGCACAGCGCTTTAAATGTTGTCTGACTCAGCAGTATGTAATGCAAGGCACATACTGAAGTGTATTCTTTTTATTTTATATATCTACATATACATAGATACACACGCATGCTAAAATAAAAATATTAAACCGACTTTTTTATTTGGAGGGAGTGCTTTGAATATCAACAGTATATGCTGTGATTTGTCATCTTGATGTAATGTTGTATTTGTTTTTTGAATCTTGCAAATACACAGCAAGAAGAGTTTCATTTTTTGGCAGACAGAACTGGACCAGGAATGTCCTGGAGCATATATATATATAAAAAAAAAAAAAAAAAAAAGGTACCTACAGAAATGATCATTTGTGTGAGATGCAGTCTGCTTTTCCTCCCTTTAGCTGGCCCGTTCAGCTGATTGATAACAGAGTACTTAGAAGCTCACTAATATCTCTTTCCCCTTATTTTCTGTCTTAAGTCTACTTCTAGTTTATAGAGAACTTTTTGTTGTTGTTGTTCCCTGTTGTCAATTTCTTTTCATCCCTCTTAAATACTAATTGAAGTTTATATGGTGCTCCATTGTTCTTTTCTGTTGACAGTAACAGCAAAAATATCGTTTACAACAATTCTATTCATATATCTTTTTATGCAAGTGAAATATATGTATAATATAGCAGTTCCACGAGGTACGTATTTAGTGCATCAAAGACGACTTCTACGTGCAGTTGCGCGAGCAAACTTTGGGGATGCAAATTCTGCTTTTCTATCACTGCTGTTCTGGTGGCGAGGAGCGGCCGCTGCTGCGTGCATATACATCACTGCAAGCTGAACTTATTTCTGCATTTTAAGAGGTCACAGAGGCCTCTTGCTAGCCACCACCCAGCCCATGTGCTTTTGGTGGTTCCCTCTAAACTGTGTAAGTTGAAGCAGTGGAAAACATAGCCCCCTGCCATCTGTGTGTTTGTAGCGAAAGGTTCACCGGTTGCAGTGGGGCATTAGGCGGAAATCGGGATACACCGTTTCTCTGGTTTCCCCTGGAAACCGGGTGCCTTTGCCGGGGGCAGTTCAGTATTTCATGTCCATAAGCGCTGTCAGTGCATGTGCCTGAGCTCCTTTGGTTTCCAAGGCAGTTGGTGTGTTTCGGCAGTTAACACTCTACAGTTAATCCCGAGTGCGATGGGAGAGGCGGTTTCTGTACCCGTGTCTGCTCAGCCTCCAATACACTGGCCTTTCACAACTTCTGCACTGTCTGCTTCAGAAGTCCCGCTTCAGTGGAGTGGGTTTGTGCTCCTTGACTAGCTTGACTGCCTGCA